GGGGCTCCGCGGGGCTGGAGGCACGGGGCAGCAACCGCAGTGGGAGCCTTTCCTGCCGTCGCCAGCGACAGCCCACCTCGACCACCCTCGCCTTTCTCCTTGCAAGTGGGTGACATAAATCAAGGACCCAAGGAGACCGTTTGGGATCCAGGCTGGATCTGAGCCCGGACGCCCACCTACAGCCCCCTGGCTGGGGCCCAGAATTGGACTAGGTTGTCCATTCGGGGAGATGCCGGTGGCCTGGATCGAGAATGGCCTTTGACCTGTGGCAGGCTGGCCTCCCCCTACCCCCCTTCCGCGCCGTTCTCTCCGGCCCAGCCGCCCGCATGCCCCCACCCCAGGGTGCTCAGCCGGCCTCTGCAGAATAAAGACGGCGGCTGCTGCAGAGGCCGCGCGGGGCTGGGGGAGGGGCTGGCACTGCCAGGCTGAGAGCCCTGACCTCCCTCTTCTTATCTGCCCACCTGGGGGTTGGGCAGACCCAGGTGGGGAGGGAGGGGCGTCATATGGTCTGGAGGGGAGTGGGTAATAAGGGACCCTTGAAAAGAATTAGCCTCTGGCTGCCAACAACAAAGTGCTGCAGGGGGGAGGTGAAGCTGGCGCTGTAGCAGGGTGGGGGCTCTCCGGGATGGAGGGGAGACGTAGCCAAGGTGAGGGCTGCAGGCTAGGCGGTCAGCACAGTTCCTGCCCTGTGCCCCAGCCCGGAGTCTGTGGAGATTTCGGGCACTGTACCTCCTCCATCCTCCAGCACTCTCATGTCTCCGGGCGGCCCAGGGTTGCATGTAGCATCCAGTGGCCCGGTCCTGCATAGGCATTCACGCCTCAGATGGCTAGCAAGTACCCACCACCTTGGACAAGTCATGTGACCCAGAGCTGGGAGTTCACACTGGAGTCGGAGTGAAATGCCTCCTTCTGCATTCCGCCTAGGGCAAGTGGGAGAGTTTTTGGGCAGGTTCTAGTCCCATTTGGGAGATGCCGCAAGGAAGAGTGAGTTCTGGGCTGGGAGCTTAGGAGCCCCTACTGGCATTGTCTCTCCACTGGCAGGGACAGAAACAGAGTCCCTGAAGCTTCAACTAGACACAAGGCCCCGAGGGGCATCGGCTGCATCCAGGGAAGCCAAAGGGAGCCTGGGTGCATCTTCTAGCCATACAGCCCACAGGGAACACAGAGGAGGGGCGCCATCAGAGCAGGACAGAGGTGGGTCACACTGTTACCAAGAGGACAGAGGCCAGTGGAAGTCCCAACTGTCCAGCTGTGTAGCAAGAGTAACAGTGATGAGGAGAAGTCTTGAGCTGACCCCATGTGTGTCACAGGCAGGGGTATGGTGACCAGGAAAAGACCAGGGCTGCCCCAGCTCTGTAGTGACCAGTAGAAGGCCTGCAGTTGAATAGGGTAGGACAGGCCAAGGTGAAATCAGGGAAAGTTGGTCCTATTCTATCAGGGTCCTGTGTGCCAGGGCATTCTAACCCCACTCCCAGAAACTGAGAGCAGTGAGCGCCCACCCCACTGTGTCCCCAGACAGCCCAGGTTCTGACAGGGGTGCAAGAATAAAGGCATCTGGGGGGCATGGTGGCACAGTGGTTAAAGAGCTCAACTGTGAACCGAAAGCTCAGTGGTTCAAGTCCACCAGTCACTGCAGCAAAACCTGGCAGTGTACGTCCATGAACACAGCCCTCAGACCAGCTCTACTCTGAGCCCCAACTGACTCAGACTTGTGGGTTGGGTTGGGTTTTGAAGAAAGTGGCTGAGAGGACAGTGGCTCCCGACCGACCCCCAAGTATGCTCCCTACCTCATCACCTGGCCTTCTCTGTGCTCTGTCTCTGTCTTGGTGAGAGGGCATGTTAGTACTCAGGCCCTCCACTGCTGGCCCTTTTCCGAGAGGAGACTGCAAACAGTTAAGACCTGGACTGCCCACCCAAAGGTAGAAAGCACAGGGAAAGGAAGGTCTGGCAACCTCCCTCCAGTGGAGTCTAGCCAGGAGTCCAAATCCACCCATCCGTCACTGCTTGCAGTTTGGGTTGCTCATGGGACTCGGACTGTGATGGGGGCACGAGCATGCCTCACGGAGGTGCCAGCGTGGGGAGTCACAGTCAGAAGAGGTGCAGAGTTGGCACCTGGGGTTGGAAGTCCTGGACGGACATAAGAACGGGCACATGTGTACATGCATGAGCTGGCATGTGCCATGTGGCCACGTGTGTGCGCACACATGCTTGCTCTGGCATGTGCTGTGTGGTCGTGTGTGCATGCACATGCATGTTTCTGGCTGTGCCGTGTGACCACGTGTGTGCACACATCCACATGTGAGTCTTCACAAATGGTCCAGACTGTGGGAAGGGGATGCACACCAAGACCCCATCTGTGCAGTCCGTGTTCACCAGGGTGGTGTTTTGGCTTCAAGAAGGCAAGGTCCCTGCTGCTTCCACCAGTGGTGGAGGGGGGACATTTCAGCCTGGGAGGGGCCTTCTGCCTTTCCTCTTGGGAGCTGCCCTTTCTCTGGATCAAAGTCCTTTGATAAGGGCAGATGGGGCTGTGCCTAGGGAGCCACACCCTGCCTCCCCCAGCCACACCCTGGCATTCCCATTCTGTTCCAGGGAAGGGAGCAAGGGTAGGAGAGGGTTGGGTACAAGGTCCTTGAGAATACAGGCTCAGGCCCTCGCTATATCTACCCTCCCCTGTGCCCACTTGGTGTGCAAGAGGCTAGGTCAGCATCCCCGCCCAGTTCTGCCCCAGAGCACACAGAAGAGGTGACACGTGAGGGGGTACTTCCCTCAGGAGCTCTCTGACCTAGAAGCCCCTGTGATAATGTTAGTTCCCGAGAAAGGTTTCCTGCAGTCAGTGGGGTGGGAAGAGGCAGCCAGCAGGGTCGGGGGTCTGGGGCAGGATGGATGCTGGGACCTTGCTGAACTTCCTGTCCCTTCTTTCTGGCAAGGGTCCGTGAGGCCGGGCTCCTCTGAGCACCTGCTCTGGCGTGGGCCAGAGTGAGGTAGGGGGGCCCTGGTTGCTCTGCAAACTGAGCCTGCTCAGTAGCTGCTGAACCACGAGCAGCGGTTGCCTGGCACCTCTGCTGTTGCCATGGCAACAGCGGAGGTGCTAACTTGCTAATGAGTCCCCCTCGGCTGCAAATAACAATACTATGGTGGTTAATCGCTGAGCTGGGAGGATTCCTTGGGAGGCCAGGCGGGGCCAGGTACCGGACTGGAGGGCCCATCTGCCCACTGCCTGAAGCCAGGGACGGACAGGCTTTCACCTCCAGACTCCCCTTCTGGGTCTCTGCCCCTCCCACCCTCAGGGCATATTCCTGGGGGCTTGGTTTCCTGGGTACCACGTCTCTTTGATCCCCAGACCCTCCCAGCATCCCTCACCGTGGCACTGGAGCTTCAGATAGTTTCTGGTTTTCAGGTGACCAGTTATCTGAAGTGGCTCCAGCCCTGCCAGGCCTCTAGGGCAGGGTCTCAGGGTGTGGGCAGGTCCTGGGCCTCCCCATACCCCTCACTTCATGGGGAAGATTCTGTTGAGAACCTAGGAAATGCATCCCAATGCAGCTTGGACAGGAACTGAATGACACCCCCTGAGTGGATGGGAACCCCCTTACAGGCAGGCAAAGACCCTCTCAGCAGGCAGAGAACCCCCCGGTGGACAGAGACCTCTCCTCCTTGGCAGACAACCCTTTTGCTATTGAATTTACTAGGTGTAACCCCACTACTCCCTGGGCTTGGTCTTCATAATGGAGGAGACCCCAAGGAGGCCTGGGGGAGGGGTAATCTCATGTCCCCACTGCTGATACATGGCACGCGACCACCCAGATCCTGGGTCACCTCCAAGGTGTCAGTTATGGCTAGCCTAGGCCTTCAGCCTCCCTACCCAGCAGAGGCAGCATTGGGTCCAAATTAAGCCAAGAAGAGAGGTGATCTTATCAGGCAGGGACTGACCCCAAGCGTCTGGAGGAAGGAGAGTGTGGAATGTAGGGATAAGATTCCAAGAGCTGTTCCTAGCAGGAGATGATGGGTGTGGAGTCCCCAGCCTGGGAGTCCCCTGAGGGGATGGTCCAGAAACAGACAGCTTCCCCTAATGTCACCAGAGTCATTGTGATGTGTGATATGACAAGTGTCTTCAGGAAGTCACCCAGGACTGAGAGTTAGAGGACTCCCTGTGGGAGGCATCCCAGCTTCCCCCCACCCTACCCAGAGCTTGTGGAGACATTGGTGGAAAGGTACTGAGGGATCCTGGATCCTAGGATGGAGGGGGGGGGGACCCTCAAGGGACCTTAGTTCCAGGTGGTGTGTTTGTGAGTTTGCACTAGTCACATAGTCCATCCTCAAGCCTCTGTTTCCCCATAGGTAAGCAAACTCGCCACCCTGAGGGATGCTTCCTAGGGGACCTGGAGGCTTGGGTGGGGCTGCTGTAGTTGTTTGGTTGTGACTCCTAGTGATCCTGTGTACAGCAGAACAAAGCCCCGTGCAGTCCTGGGCCATCTTCAGACTGGTCAAGTTTGAGCCCATTGTCTGGCCATTATCCATCTCCTGAGGGTCTTCCTCTTTCACTGAGCCCTCCACTTACCGAGCATGAAGTCTGCATCCTGAGGATGGGGGTGGCCTGTTTGGGCATGTGAGGGTCCTGCCTCAACCTAGTTGGCACAGGATGGGAACTCGAAGCCCTGAGACCTAGCCCTCTGTGGTCCCCCAGCTCCTGCGCCTGCTGCTTCCTGCTCAGGAGGTCAGCATCATGGCCTGTGTGGGCGGCAGAGTCTGGCTCACTCAGCTGACAGGCTGCTGGGATGTGGTCTTTGTAGAGCAGCCAGAGGGGACACCTCCCTGGGGACATGCTTGGTGCCCCAGAGTCCCACCACTGACCCCTCTGAGGCTGACCCTGCCCTGATGACCACGATCTCTCCCCACAGGTCTGGCACCATGCCCGGTCACTCCAGACTCTAGGCCAGACCCCAGGCCATCGGACAGCCCCTCCTTGCGTCAGGGGTCCCTCCCTCCCCTGCCCACTGCCCACCATGGCTGGGGACCGACTCCCTCGGAAGGTGATGGACGCCAAGAAGCTGGCCAGCCTTCTGCGGGGCGGGCCTGGGGGGCCACTGGTCATTGACAGCCGTTCCTTCGTGGAATACAACAGTTGGCATGTGCTCAGCTCTGTCAACATCTGCTGCTCCAAGCTGGTGAGACGCAGGCTGCAGCAAGGCAAGGTCACCATCGCCGAGCTGGTCCAGCCAGCCTCTCGAAGCCAGGTACGAGTCATACCTGGGCAGGACTCTACCCTGGACTCCCACCTACTCCTGGGACCCCCACCTCCTCCAGGGACGCTCCACCTTCTCCAAGAACTTCCCACCTCCTTCAGTGCTCCCCACCAGCTCCAGAGTTCCCCACTACTTCCACGGTCTCCCCACTATCTCTGGGACGCCCCATCACCATGGAGGCTCCCCACCACTTCCAGGGGCTCCCACTGACCACAGCCCTCCTCCCCCACTCTGCCTCTCACACCCAAACCCATCCCACCAGATCCACTCCTTCTTAGAGGTGACACCTTCTCCCCAGACTCATTGCCTCTCTCCCACCCAGAGCCCTGGTCCTGTCAGAGCTAACACTCTCTCAGCCCCAGGATGGTGCATTTGTGTCCCACATTCCCAGGCCAAGTACTGAGCACAGAGTGAATGGGATGAGGTTCCCAGGTATGGATGCACACACAGGAGCAGATACCAGTGGGGGCGGGGGGCTTGATCAGCTGGGATGCACACAGAGAACAAAGTAGGGTGCTCAGGGAACTCATGCAGGGACTGTCTCTAGTCCCCCAATTCTCACACCTGCCTGCAGAGAGGTACATTTATGGAAAACAGTGCCCCTGGTAGACACTGGAATAGCGTCCCTGTCCGATCATCCGGCACCCATCCTTAGATAACTTCACCATCATCACATGAGCTCAGAGAGACAGTCTCGTTCATCTTTTACTTCACACATGACAGTACGACATGAAAATGACAGCCGCCTTTCCTTGCTTTCCCTGACGGAAGAAAATTGGTCTGTGATGGGCTCCCCGTCATTGTTTTCAGCTGCTTCTCTCTATGCGCTCAGCGGAGCAAGATCACCGTCTGCGTGGCCCACGGAGGCTCTCCCATAGGACGGTCTTAGTGTTAACTTGCTTCATGATCCCTCACAGCTGGCCATGGGAACTGTCACGGTTCAGAGAAACCGCTCAGTGGCACCGAGGCACGTACCACATGGGTCACACCTTAGTCTGTGCCAGGCCTCCTGTGGGGTCCCTGTCTTCAGTGACACAGACTTCTCTGTGTACCCAGAAACCCTGGGGTCACCTGCACTGGGAGCACCTCAGCAATCCCCAGGGACACACACACCCCCACACACTGCTTCCTGGGGCTCAAGACCCTCCACCCTATGGGGGGCCAGGCGGAGGAAGAAGGGATTGACATGGTGCTGGTGAGGCTGCGGGGAGGGGCAGCTCGGGCTCCCAGCGCAGAGCAGAGTGAAAACCCAGGTGGGGCATCTTTGTCACAGCCCCCACCCAGGGAATCCGACCCAGTGATTAATAGCCCGGCGAGGACGCGGCCAGGGCGCAATCCTATTGGCTGCCGGTGACATCATCAGCTGGCTGCTTGGCTGGGTCCCGGCTGCGTGTGCTGGGGGCGGGGGCATCGCCCTATGGAGCCAAAGCAGCTCAGCATCTGACCCCCTGCTACCCACCTGTCACTGGGAAGTGGGAACAGAAGCCCACTGAACAGCGCTGTCTTCTTAGTGGGGACAACGGGGCCCCAATACAGCCCTCAGTTTCCCCATCCCTGCAGGGAATTATGGTGAGGGGCGGCGTGTTAACTGAACTGGAAGCTCCTCTGAGGCCCTGTTCTTGAATCCAAAGTAGGTCTTCCAGTGGGGGTGTGGTGTTCATTGTGCCTGCAGTCCTTTCCTGGGGGCCCTGACCTCTTTCCTCATGCCCCCAGGTGGAGGCTGCAGAACCACAGGACGTGGTAGTATATGACCAGAACACACGGGACGTCAGCGTGCTAGCTGCAGACAGCTTCCTTTCGCTCCTGCTCAGCAAGCTGGACGGCTGCTTCGACAGCGTGGCCATCCTCACAGGTGAGTCTGGCCTGCCGGCAGCCTCTCCAACCTCATCCTGTAATCAACTTGGGGGAGTGGAAGGGGCTCAGCTTTGGGCCCCTCCCCGCGGCTCCATCTCTAAGCCTGGACACCAGCCTCTGTTGTGCTAGGGTAGGGTGGGGGTCTCAGTACCTTTGTCTCTGAGGTGCTCCACTGCCCCCCCCTTGGGCTCCCTCCAGCACAGCCCACCATCACCACCGCCAGCAGGTGAAGAGGTGGTCCGAGAAAGCCCAAGTGCCTCGAGCTGGGAAGGGGATATGGAACCTAGACAGAGGTGTGCCCCCAGGAGCCCCCATCCCAGAGCCCCCGACTTGTGCAATCTGGAAAACCCCATCTGACAAGGAACCCGTCCCACACCCGGGAAATCCCCTGCAAAGCAGGTTGCCTAGCAACAGCCTAGCCAATCACGGCTGCTGCCAGGGGATGAGCAGCACTCCACCTCCCAGCTGACCCGTTCTCCAAAAGCAGCCTAGCCAGCCAGCCCCCAGACAGGACCAGCTTGAGGCTGGGGAGCCCCCTACACACACATGTTCCTGCATCCTGGTATAGACCCCCTGGAGAGCTGGTCTGTCCTCTTAACATGTGTCCTGCCGACAGAGGTCCAGGGGCTGCAGCTAGTGGAGGGTGGGCATGAGAAGATGAAGACAGCCTCCTCCCTCACAGCATTCAAGCATCCTGTCCACCTAAGCACAGTGAGGGGCCCAGACATTCCTGTGTCAGGCTCTTGGTCACTTAATGAGGCTACTCGAGGCAGTCCTTCCCAGGAGGTGCCACGTGAGCCCAGACCACACAGTGTCCAGGTGGTACCAGTACATCAGGAGCAGGACCACCCAGAGGAAGGTGCTGGGGCAGGGGTGAGCCTGGTCTAGAGTGGGTGTAGGACTGCAGGTGGTGGCCAGTGCGGGTGGGCAGCTGGGTCCTCCACTCCACACCCTCTCAGCCTCCAAACTGAACCCGGGGGTGATGACTGCACCTGACTGTTTGTAGTTCTGTGTTCCAACAGTTCACACACATACCTCAGCAGGACATGCACAGGACTATGAGAGACATGTGGACAGCTACAGCTGACCACCAGACTTCCAGAGCTATAACCAGGTCTCTGCCCTGTGCCCGCTAAGGCCAGATGCACTGGGCTCTGGAGTCACACTCAGACCCCTGGCACACTTATAACCGGGTGCCGAGCGCCCACCCAGCTGCCTGCCCTCCTTCCCTCCCTCCCTCTTCTTCAGACAAAACCTACAATGAGAGATGGTACTCAGGAGCCTCGAGGTTCCCCTCCACCACTCCATTCTCCTGTCTTGACCCCGACCCCTCCCATCAATTCCACCCACTCATCCATCCCCCCCTCACCCTCACCCCCCTGAACAATGGCTCTTGGCTGTCCACCCACTCATCCATCCCCCCCTCACCCTCACCCCCCTGAACAATGGCTCTTGGCTGTCCAGTCCTGACTCTGCTCCATCCCAACCTGTCCCAGGCTTATTCTCTGCTTCCCCTGTGCCCTTCTGGGCATGCTCCTCAGCCCAGACCTCCCTCTCCTACCTCAGTTTTAGATATCTCTCAGGCCCCAGACTTCTGTGTGTTCCCAATCCTGGGATCTTCCGTCCCATGAAGTCTCCTGTGGTCTGGAACCTGCAGTTACCTCCCTGCCCCCACTGCTATCACGCCCTCAGTCAGCCTGTGCTTGTTCGTTGACCTTGGGGACACAGCCAGGACCCCCCTTACCCCAGGTTATACACTGTCTCTCCCACTGCCCAAGTCTGTGCCCACTGATACTCAGTCTTCCACTGGGCACACTCTTATGTGTCCTTTCAAAATCAGTACAAACACTTCCTCCTCCCGGGAGCCTGCCTGGAGTAGGTGCCTGGCTCTGGGCTCCTTTAGAGCTCCCCTGTGGTCAGATTGCTGGACTCAGATTAGTCTCCCCCACTGGGCACTGAGGGCAGGCAGGCAAGGGTGCAACATAGCCACAGAGTTACCTCTGCACTACCTGTCGCTTAGAAAGTGCTCATGACATGTGACCCATAATGAGAGATCAGGTGCACATGTGGTACCTCCGCCCTCAGCTTTCATCCCTCAGGATAGGAGGGGACAACATCTCCCTCCCTCATCCCCTCTGGATAGAAGATTCTGGGAAGGAGTGAGAAGGGGCCAGGACCCCTGACCTGTATCAGGCTGGGCTCACCTGTGACCTGGCTCTCTGAGCCCCCAAGCCATCACCTGCCCTTCTTTCATACACGGCCCCCCATGTGAGATTGGGGTACACATCCCATTTCTCCAGGGCCAAGTTAGGATGGGAGTCCTATACAGGACGTCCTAGTGAGTGAGTAACTACAAACCACCCCTCCCAGGAGGGCACAGTGGTGAGAAGACAGCAGAAACAGGCTGAGCAGGGAGGACTTGGGTTCCGCCCCCCGAAAGAGGATCTGCTAGGCATGCAAGTGTCATTAGGGTACTTGAGGACCCCCTCCTTCCAGAGGCTGAAATGCTAGGGCAAGGAGTGAGGGCTCCTGAGCAGAGATCCAAGAGAAGGTGGAGGGGACTCTGGGAAAGACCTCTCTGGGGCAGAGGACGGCTGTTGTGACCCCCGCTGCCATCCGTCAGCTGCACTGCTTTGACAGTCTGGGAAGGCGTCTGGCTCTTTAAGCTGAGGGGCCGCCCCATTGGGAGCCTGGCTGTCAGGGGGTCTCCATCCCTGCGGAATGGAGGGTGATGTTGTCACCAGGTACCCCCCTGCTGTGGGACAGGTGGGTCACCCGTATAGCCCAGCAGAAGTGACCTTGACACACACCCAGACCCCCATCCCCCCCAGCCACCTTGTAGGCACTGGCCTCAGACCCTGGGCAGCAGCCACAACCACTGTGCCCACAAAGACCCCTCTCCACTCCTTCTCCCAGAGCAGGGGGACTGCTGAGGGCCTGTCAAGCAAAAGTGCATGTCTGCCTGTGGCGGGCAGGTGGGCGCAGGGACCTGGCACATTGCTTTTATGCACGTCTGAGCTTTCATTGTGAGGATGCTGTTAGCTAAGTGAGCCCACTCTGATGCCCCTGGACATACCTTGAGGTGGGAGACACATAACTCTTTCAGCACCCCCAACCCCTCCCTTTTCACAGGTTGAATCCTCAGTGCCTGGCTGATATCTCGGGGGGGGGGGGGTAATATAGGGGACAGGAAGTGCCTATAGGGGGTGAGGACTTGCTGGACACTTGGCCAGCCTTTCCTGCCACCCTCCTTGGGGAGGATGAAACCCTGATGGAGTTTCCCCCACTCTGGCCAAGCAGTGTAGGGAAAAAGCAAAGGGTGTAAAGCCTGCCCCACGTCCCCTGGCCCTGGACATAAGCAGGCCACAAGGGCACTCAGCTAACTCCACCTCTGCCCATGGGACCAGCAGGTTCCAGAGGGACACTGCCCCTGAGGATACTGTCCATTCCCCAGCTGGATGCTCTAGGGTCAAGCACCCTTGGAGACAAAGAGAGTCCCCTCAGCAATATTCTGATGGGAGGTACCCACAAACAGACCCCTGAAGCTGGGCCAGGGATGAAGGCTGAGGCCCCATGCTGCCCTATCCTCAGGGTCAAGGACCCTGCCATTGGCCTCCTCTGAAGAGCACGGTCATTGTTGTTGTTATTGTGGAGTGTTGTCGAGTTGGTTTCAACTCACAGCGACTCTATGTAGAGTTTCCGAGGAGCAGCTGGTGGGTCTGACCTTGTCCTCCAGCACCAAACCAGGAGAAGCAGAGTAGGAAAGAGCATTGGGGGTCTCATTTCCGAGTACCACCTTCCCACTCTGCCTCCTCCAGTGGGTGGGATCTCAGATCTCAGTCCAGTTGCGGACAGTGTGTGTCCACAGCAAGAAGCAGGAACCCACTGCATTTGTAACCATGGATGTGTGCTTCTCAACGGAATTCACCTGTGCCCCACACCATAGTCAGTTCCGGGGTGCCCTAGGCACTTCCTACCTCAAGCTGCCAAGAGTTGGTGAGTACTAGGTGCCACCAAGCAGCTAATCTGAACCACTGTCCACTCCAGCCTCCAGGACCAGTCCTCACCACGAGCCTCATCTTGTCTGAGCTTTGTGACAATGCCATGCATGAGGCCACTGAGGTCAGAGACGCAAAGTGGTCATAAGCAGGTTCTGTGACATGTCAGGGACTCAAGCTTGGGTCTGTCCAGGCAGCAGAGAGGCTCCCAGAACATAAACATGCACAAGAGGCAGCCTGCTCCCTGTCCCCAAGGTCCCCCGCCCAGCTCTGTCCCTTCCTTCGGGGTGGGCTGGGGCCAGAGTGGCAGCGCAGATGGTCCTGCGGGCGGTACCAATCCCAGGGGGTGATGTCACGACCAGGGAGGGGCCCTCACAAGCCCTTGCCTCCTGGTCCTGACACCCAAGTCCAGCCCAGGGCTCCCAGCCAACTCGAGGCAAGGATTGCATCAGCACAGGGGACAGGAAGGCCATGCCTGGTCACTGACCACGGTGTTGGAAGCAGAAGAGGGCCTCCCCTGTCTGGGCTGTATGAACAGATTCCCACTGGAGACCCCTGTGGCCTGGGGGCTGCCCCTGCCTGGGCCTCAAACCTTACTAGCCAGCTACCTCAGCCACATTTATGGGCGTTGCCAACAGCGTCCTTAGCCAGGCCAGCTCCTAATTAGCCAGTAGAGTCGCTTGTGGGTGGTCAGAGCTGCCCTCCCACATTCAGGACACAGACCAGGTGAGTGGGCAGCAGCCGTGGCCAGAGCCACCCTCCCACATCCGGACACAGATCAGGTGCACTGGCTGGAGGCTCAGAACTGGGTATCACAGGATGCCAAGAAACGCCTGCCCAGCAGTGGCCTGCTGACCGCACCCTCCTTTGTCCCTCCTTTGCAGGGGGCTTTGCCACCTTCTCATCCTGCTTCCCCGGCCTCTGTGAGGGTAAGCCGGCTGCCCTGATGCCCATGAGCCTCTCCCAGCCCTGCCTGCCTGTACCCAGCGTGGGTCTGACCCGCATCCTCCCTCACCTTTACCTGGGATCTCAGAAAGATGTCCTGAACAAGGTGTGTGTACTACCAGAAGCTCAGGTGGGAGGCAGGAAGCCGGAGGCCAGAGTGGGGCTCATGGGGGATTCGGGGAGGGCCAGAGGGGGCTGGGCTGAACAACAGGCTCCTGCCCCTCTGTGGAGCCAGCATGCCAGACTGCTGATGTCACCGGGCCCCTGGCCAGCCCTGAAAGGATCCTGTGTTTTAAAACTGGTGGAGAGAGAGAAGGGTGCCGGGACCGCCCATGGAGTCATAAATTCCTCCGGGTCTCCTGCACGCTGTGGGCCGGGTGGTAAGAACCTGTGTCATACCACAGCAAGGTCCTGTGGGCGCCAGCAAGGGATGGAGGGGGCTCCTGGCCCCCAGCCCCTAGGCAGGCCCCAAGAGGAAATCTCACTAGGGTTTCAGGAACCAGGCTTACCTGCCCAGCTACAAGGAGGAAGAAGTCCCCTCCTCCCTACCCACCCCATCCCCAAGGGCTTGTCTTTTGCTTACCCACTCCTCCCAACCTGTCCCCCTGACCCTCCAGGACCTGATGACCCAAAATGGAATAAGCTACGTCCTCAACGCCAGCAATTCGTGCCCCAAGCCGGACTTCATTTGTGAGAGTCACTTCATGCGTATCCCTGTCAATGACAATTACTGTGAAAAGTTGCTGCCCTGGCTGGACAAGTCCATCGAGTTCATCGGTGAGGACAGGACAGGGCAGGGACCTGGATGCAAAAGGGAGGTGTGCCGTGTAGTCCGTGTAGGTGTGTGTACAGATTTGTCTATGTAGCTAGCTTGTGTGTACATGTATATGAGGAGCCAACATCTGTGTGTGTGTGTGTGTGTGTGTGTATGTAGCTGGTGTGTACGCAAACATGTAGAGCCAGTGTATATGTGTAGCCATACACACATGCATTTGTGTGCCTTCTGTGTTTGCACACGTGTGTGTAGCCGGTGTGTGTGTAGCCGGTGTGTGTGTAGCTGTGCATGTCTGTGTGCACATGTTTACACTATTACCTGGAGGGGAAATTCCCTGAGAAGCAACTGACAGGCAGGAAGGTTGGGTCTCCTGAGGGTGCTACCTGGGTAGGACGGGACCCTGGCACCTCACACTTCCCCTATACCAATGCCCACTTGCCCCCAGATAAAGCCAAGCTGTCCAGCTGCCAAGTCATCGTGCACTGTCTGGCCGGCATCTCCCGCTCCGCTACCATCGCCATCGCTTACATCATGAAGACCATGGGCATGTCCTCGGATGACGCCTACAGGTAGCCCCTCCTTCCATCCTGGGCCTCCACCGGGGACTCTCTGGTCCCTCCCCCACTAGTAATTGAAGAACCGCTGCCCAGAGATTCAGGGTCCTCTGACTGTGGGTGTCTGAGGGACAGGGGGGAGGGTGTGTGTCAATGGCTGGGGTGATGGGCAACCAGCTGTGACCCAGCCCTGACCGGCTCTTCGTGGCAGGTTCGTGAAGGACCGGCGGCCGTCCATCTCGCCTAACTTCAACTTCCTGGGCCAGTTGTTGGAGTATGAGCGCAGCCTCAAACTGCTGGCCGCCCTGCAGGGCGACGGAGCGCCCCTCCCAGGGACCCCTAATCCCCTCCCAGGGCCCACAGCCCCCCTGCTGCCGCTGCCACCACCTACCTCAGAGAGCGCCACCACTGCAGCCAGGGAGGGCGCACCAGGCGCGGGCGGGGAGCTCCTGGCGCCGACCTCCGCACCCGTCACCAGTGCGCTGCAACAGGGCCTGCGCGGCCTGCACCTCTCCTCCGACCGCCTACAGGACACCAACCGCCTCAAACGTTCCTTCTCGCTGGACATCAAGTCGGCCTACGCACCTAGTCGGCGGCCCGAGGGTCCAGGGCCCCCCGATCCTGGCGAGGCCCCCAAGCTCTGCAAGCTGGACAGCCCCGGAGGTGCCCTGGGCCTGCCATCGCCGGGGGCCGACAGCCCGGACGCGGCGCCTGAGGTGCGCCCACGTCCCCGGCGGCGCGCACGGCCCCCAGCCGGCTCCCCAGCGCGTTCGCCCGCTCATGGCCTGGCCCTGAACTTCGGTGACGCGAACCGGCAGACTCCGCGGCACGGCCTCTCAGCTCTGTCGGCGCCTGGGCTTCCCGGCCCCGGCCAGCCCCCCGGAGGCTGGGCGCCACCACTGGACTCTCCGGGCACGCCATCGCCCGATGGGCTCTGGTGCTTCAGCCCTGAGGGCGCAGGCGGCGTGGGCGGCACGCGCTTTGCCCCCTTTGGCCTGCCGGGCTCGCCGAACGCAGGCGGTGGCGGTTGTGACCTGCGGCGGCGGGAGGTGGCGCGGGCCGAGTCCCGGGACGCGCGGACCGGCTGGCCCGAGGAGCCGGCCCCCGAGACGCAGTTCAAACGTCGCAGCTGCCAGATGGAGTTCGAGGAGGGCATGGTGGAAGGGCGCGCTCGCGGCGAGGAGCTGGCCGCCCTGGGCAAGCAGGCAAGTTTCTCCGGCAGCGTGGAAGTCATCAAGGTGTCGTGACGGCGGGCCGGGACGGCTGACCTGGGCCTCTACGGGGCCTCGGGCCGCGCGCCATAGATCCGGATTCTATACGGAAAAGAATGGGTTTTACCGCGATTTTTATCGAGAAGTAAATATTTCCATTTTTTATTTATTGACGCTGTTCATTCTGGCAATGATTTGGCAAAACGGCAAGCGGTCCTCTCATTTTACTGTCTGGTATTTAAACTGAAACACACGTTTCTAAGCAATATGAGGGCCACCTTCAGCCACAAGCTGGGTGCCAGGCCTGGGGCCCCCTCCCCACCCTCCACCCCCACCGGAAGCACTGCTGACCATTGCGAGGGGGCTGCAGAGCTTTTGTGCACTTTTTACATAAGAAAAAGGGGAAAAAAGAAAAAAAAAAAAAAAAAAACCTTCTTTGCCACAAACTGAGCCGCAGAACCCTCCTGTCCCCCACCCCTCCCCGCCTCCTCCTTTCCTCTCCTTCTCTGCTTCCTTCTTGGGCTCTACACCAAAGCCATAGGTGGGGAGCTGGCCCCCGAAGTCCAGGTTTAACAGACTTCACCGGGTCAGCTCTCACCCAGCATTGGCACAGGGCCGCCCCTCCCACCTGCCCTCCCGCCTCAGACCTGGTCCCCGTGCATCTTGACAGAACATTGGCTAGGTGTGGTCGTGGTCTCAGTGGGGTTAGGGAGCGTAACAAGGTAGGGGCCAGGTTCGACAGAGGGGGAATCTCAAGTGTCAGATAATACAGCCCAGGAAAGGGCTTGGAATGGGAAGGACCTGCCTCAACCTCCTGGGGTGGAGGTGCTGGAGTCCTCTAGAGCCCCCCCCCTGCCCCCACCCTCTAAGGAAGCACAGCAGTAGTGGGGTGACCCCAAGGGCGGGGGGACGACCTCATAGCAAGAGGAGAGAAGTGAGTCAGGGCTGGCCTGGGTCCAGCTATGGGCTGGGGAATGACTTTAGGGTCATGTTCAGCACACCCCACCCCCCAGCTCCAGACCCCTGAAAAAATGGCTTCAGATGTAGCCCTGTGGTTGGAAGGGCCAACATGGGTTCTTACTGTGTTGAGGGATGGGGATTTGTTAGCACCTGTCAGACCCTATTCTTCCAGGGGGTGGGGGTCTTCGCTTTGGGAGAGCTATCTCAAAGCATGTAAAGCCCCCTGCCTTGTGTAGATGCAGGAGTGCTCCCATGTCCGCCCCAACCCCACGGGGGTCTTTCAGGAGTTAAGCCCTCTGCACAGTTTCTTCTCTGGGGCTTCTCCTCTTGAACTCTCCTCCAGTATCTACAAGTGGGCCAGCCAGGGTGGGGAGGGTAGGAGGAAACCCCAGCTACCTCCACTCCATACCACCTGGATCCATGGGGACTCAAGGCTTTGGAGGCAGGAGTGGATGTCTCCGTCCCTTCAGACGTCCTAGGTTTGGGGGGTGGGGGGCCCGTGCAGGACTGAGTCCTGGAGCAGGCTGGGTGGGTGGGGGGTGCCCGCTGAGCTGCTTCTCCTGCTGTTTCTTCTCTGTTCTTCTTTTGACCCCAACCCTGTGTCCCTTGTCCTCAAAGCAAAAGTCCTGTTCCTGTCTCCCCACCCCCACCCTTGTCCCTAAGAAAATAAGCTATCGTTGTATTTGCAATCTATGGATTAGAGATTTAAGTATTTATTATCATTGGTTAATTATTATTATTATTATTAATTATGTAAACGTGCCCCTGTCTGTCTGTCCATTTGGATTTCTAAGGTGACCCTGGGTGTGGAGGATGCACTGGTCCCCCTCCTCACCCCTCATGCTGTCCAGGAGACAGTGGGATGGGGCTGCTGGTTGGGCCCCAAAACCCAGGAGGCGGGTCCCCCAACCCCACTTTCTCCCTTCCTCCCCCATTTCTCCATGGCCACATTACCGTGGCCCCCCCTTAGGCCACAGAGTCTGCCCTGGTTCTTACCTTTGAGGCATTTTCACCCAAGGGAGCATCTGAGATCAAGGAGATGGTCCTGTCTCCACCCTGCCCCTCCCAGACACTGGGGGAGGAGCTGAGCCCCTCCCTCCAAGACTTAATCCGCTCACTGTCCAAGGCGAGGCAAGAGAGCTGGACCTCAGGGTCCTAAGCAAGCCTCTTCATCCCGCTCCCCAGTCCCCAGTGTGGCCCCCGCTGTCCTGGCCAACCTGGGGGCTCCCCCTGGAAAGGATCTTCCCCTTCCTGTAGTTGGCTTCCAGCTGCAGGGAGGAGGCAGGTCCCCCCACCTCAAGTTCCTAGTCTCTCTGGGGGGGCTGTCTGCTCCCCACCCACTCCTGCCTCAGAGTCCTCCCCAGTGAGGCCATACCTTCTGATTCTGTCCCCATCGCTCCTTTTGTATTTGGAAACAATGTGTTGTAATAAATCCTGACATGGATGTTTTTCCCGGACTTTATTAGCCTCTTTCTTCGGGCTAGTGGCAATAGGGAGCATGGGAGGGAGAGGTTTGGGGGGTTTGGGACCACCCTAGAGGCCCACTGGAGCCAAGAGGCTGGTGTGTTGGATCAGAGAAGAGTTTGCGGACCCGATGTCCCAGACCAAGCACAGCACTCCAAGGGGGGTGGGCAGGGAGTTCGGAGGGGCTCTTGCTTCCAGGCTGGTGAGCCTCTAGAATGTGGTACAATCCTCAGACACACCTCTAGGGAGAAGTGCCCTAAAACACCCTTTCTAGTTGTCGCATACTGGCGGTGGTGGTGGTTATGTGCCGTCGAGTTGTTCCTACTCATAGCGACTCTGTACAGAGTTTCCGAGGCTGTAAATCTTTGTTGTTGTCATTAGGTGCCGTCGACTCATAGCAACTCTATGCACAACAGAAGGATGCACTATCTGATCCTGGGCCAACCTCACAATTGCCAGGCTTCAGCACACTGACGGTGCCATTTTGCCAATCCATCTCACTGGGGGGTCTTCCTCTTTTTTCTCTGACCCTCCACCTTACCTAATATGATAACCTTCATAAATCTTTATGGGAGCAGAAAGTCTCATCTTTCTCCTTCAGAATGGCTAATAGATTCTAACTGCTGAACTTGCAGATTGCAGTCCAACTTGTAACTCACTAGCAACCAGGGCTCCTTGCTAATGTTCAAATCATTTGTTGTTGTTTTTAAGTACTGCAGAGTCGGTTCCAACTCATAGTGACCCTGCACAGGGTTTCCGAGGCTGCAAATCTTTACGGGAGCAGAAAGCCTCATCTTTGTTCCGCAGGACAGCTGGTAGTTTCGAACTGCCGACCTTGAGGTTAGCAGCCCGATTCATAACCACTACACTACCAGAGCTCAAATCATTTAGAACTCCGTAAAAGAAAAGCTCTATTTTGCCCCCGCCTCAGCAGTAACCTGGTGTGGCGCTGTGGGCTGATGCATCAGACTGCAAAGTCATTTGAACTGCAACTCATCATCTGCTCCTTGGAAACCGTATACAGGGTCGCTATGGGTCGGCATCGACTCGACGGCACTCAGCAACAAGAGCAGTAATTACTATTGGGTCTGCCTGTGAGGACACACACACACATCACACAACACTAGTGCTTCCTTTTCAGCAGACATGGGACTAACTGCAGTGAGAGTCAATCACCAGCTTTTATCTCAAGCATGCATTTAAGGAAGACGCAAACAGTTCAAAAACCAGAATGTGCAGAGAGGGTCTGGCGGAGACCACGGTCCCCAGTCCCCTGTGGGTTCCAACCTTAAACCCAGTGTCTTCAGGGCTACATAGCTCAGAGCGCTGGCAAGGAGGGCCCCTCTGGTTTGTGATCATAATCAGTATTGCTGGGAGCCCCCATGAACCTACACAGCGGGGCCTCTCTTGGGGGGCAGATTTTCCAACATGATTTTCTGGGTCCCTCCAAAATTTGCCCCGACTCTGCAGTAACAGGGCGTGTGTGTGCTAGGTTTGTATTCACTGTGTCCAGCCAGGCTGGCTCTTGATCTTTTCAGGGAATCCTTAGCCTCAGTACCAAGGTCTGTGTTCGCAGTCCCAAAGGTCTGCAATGAAAACAGGGGGTCTGGCCCTTCTGGGACATTTGCCCTACTTACCCTAAGAACACTTTCCCCTTTTGCAAGGCCAGGCCCATGTGTGTGAATGTGTGTGCGTGTGTGGACCTATAGGTATCCACACGTGTGTGCGCACATGCCCAGGGGCTTCCGATGTGAACATGTGTATGGATGTGTGTAAGTGAGCATGCGAGTGGTGTATGGTGTGTTCCAGAGAAAGAAGAAGCCAGGGGAACGAGCTGTGGTAGAAGCTGAGCTCCTTAAATCCTGCATCCCTAAAACTCTTCAAAGAGGCCAAAAGCTGGAACCATGGCTCTGGAGTGAGCAAGTTTATTTTTAGCTCAAGAACATCTATTTATATCTCTGGCAGCCCCTTAGAGTCAATAAAACCAAGGACTGGAAAAAAGCTGACTGGTGTCTCCTGTCATACCATGGAGACACATTGGCTATAGGAGGTAGGTGAGCAGACCATTCTCCCGATAACCTGATAATCAGTGAGGGTACAGGGCTGAGGACCCTGGGCAGTGTAAGGCTGATGGGGCGGGGGGCGGCATGATGCCATTTATTGACTCAAGCAGGCTCACTTTCCCAAGGATTGCCAGCGTGCGTAGTTAAGGAAGAGTCCAGCACTGCCAGCTTTTCTCAAGCTGCGTGTGAACACCACAGTGTTACGATAGCAGACATCTGCCAGCCAGGGTCTCCTAAAGACTGGATACCCTGCTTCCTCCTCCATGTCTCCCCAGCTCATGGCCCAAGACCTTTTGGTTTTCATTGGGTCTTGGATGAGTGGTTGGTTAGATAAGTGAATGAGTGCATGGGAAGATGGACATGTATATATATGATCGATAGATTCATGTGTGAATGGATAGTGGTAGGTGATAAGGTGGATAGAAAGGATGGATGAATGGATGGATGGACGGACGGACGGATGGATGGATGGAAGGGTGGGTGAGGTAATGGGTAGATAGGTAGATGGATAGATTGATAGTAGATGGATGGATGTGTGGGAGAGTGGTT